CTTTAATTATTCTTATATTTTAAATGCATTATTTGACAAATACTTTTGTTTATTTTAGATTTTCCTAAAATGGCTTGAAGAAAATCAGAGGGTTGTATAATACCCACTTTTTAACACAAAGAACATATATTCTTGTTTACCTACAAGTCTATATTCAGCTCCTACCTTATTCTGTGCTCACTAAAATCCACTGAAAAACTCCAGGCTGCAGGTTAGCTCCTTGTTACGTAACTCTGGAAAGGACGGAGCATTTCAGGAGAGTCTGAGCATACTTGGCTCTCTTTAGGTTGAATTAAGAGCACTCAGTAACTTGTATGACTGGATGCTAAAGCAGGTCAACTGACCTGAATGGGATGACTGTAATGATTAAATCTCACGGATAAGGGAAACAGTCGCCACACCTCACTGAGATTTTGCATTCTCAGCTGATGTAGTAAGTGACTCTTTTTTCAGACAATTCCTTAGTAAGGTAGAACTCTTACAAATACTCATCTGACCTTTACTTTCTGTATCTAAGGTCTTTTGGTGTCAGTATACATAAGTAAATCATGACAGTGTAGCCCAGATAATTCAAGATGTTTTCTAGGGGGGATGTTATGATGATAAGCACTACAGAAACAAAAATGCACATACTAAAACAAAAGGTTACAAAATCAAACAAAAAAAAAAAGTTGCTGAGATCACTGAACATTTATGAACTAATGAGGAACCAAGCACGTACATTAACGAAAACAAATATGCTTTAAGATATCCACAGCAGCTGAAACTGCTGAGATAATGGTGCCACAACACAGACCAATAGAGGTTGCTGTCAATACAGAACAGCCCCCTCAAAGGATGGGATTTTCGGTACCAATAGGTAAGGCTGCACAGATTTTATAATAAACAACAAAAATAAACTTAGGCATTGATACTGCCAAATAGAATAAACCACAGTCAAATTAGATCTGAAGGACCTGTTCTCCAAAGCTAGGATTGCCAGGTTTTGGCTGCAATTCCTGTGAGAAGTACATGCAGAGAAGTTGTGAAGTCCACATGCAATGAGTCCATAGCACCTGGGATATGTTAACCTTCACATGTGCAGCAGAGATTAGCTGTGTAGATATACCAAGAATGTGCTGGATTTGCTGGGCATGTACAGCATATTTATAAGGTGTTAATGGCAGTAACTGACAGAATATGCAGAGGTAGAAGACATCACTCTGGAGTAAGGTTATTAGATGTTTATTACCTTGAAATCCTTGAACCGCAAGGGGCACCCCAGGAATTTTGCCAGGAAGCAACTGGGCTGTCCCAGGCACCACAGAGCAAGAAGCCTGGGGCAAGGTGCAGGGGGGTGTGGGTTTAAGGCAAATGAATAGGCTACAATATCAAGTACTGTACATGTGCTACAGATAACAAGAGAAGCAATAATTCTTTAGGAGTACACAAGTCCGCATTGACACCTATGTGGTGCAAGTTGAAGGGCTGCAACCTGCTGTTCCTCGTGGGTTCTGCACACCAAGGGTTTTGGCAGCTGGAATAATTGATCAGTCAGCATGCTCCTATGTCCTTGCCAATCTTCTGCTGTTTATCCACTACATAAGGTAAGTCCAGTGAATCCACTATGCAGGTCAGCATCGGTTCAGTAAGCAGCTTTTTGTCTAGGATTTTCTGGGATTCAAAGGTGTGGGCCGAGCTACGCCAGCAATGGACCTGGATGTCTGGAAATTCCAGGCAAAAAGCCAATGCCTTCAAATTTTGCCTGCTTCAGATGATTTCTAAATAACTTGGGAGATCTCAGAATAATCACGGAACCATAGAATGGTTGAGGTTGGAAAGGATCTCTGGAGATCATCTAGTCTAACCACCCTGCTCAAGCAGGGTCACCAAGAGCACATTGCACAGGATTGCGTCCAGATAGCTTTTGAGTATCTCCAGGGAAGGAGATTCCACAACCTCTCCGGGCAACCTGTTCCAGTGCTCTGTCACCCTCACAGGAAATAAGTTTTTCCTCATGTTCAGATGGAACTGCCTGTGTTTCAGTTTGTGCCTGTTGCCTCTTGTCCTGTCGCTGGGCACCACTGAAAATAGTCTGGCCTCATCCTCTTGACACTCTCCCTTTAGATATTTGTGCACATTAATGAGATTGCCTCTCAATCTTCTCTTCTCCGGGCTAAACAGGCCTAGCTCCCTCAGTCTTTCCTCATAGGAGAGATGCTCCGGTCTCTTGGTCATCTTAGTAGCCCTCTGCTGGACTCTCTCCAGGAGTGCCATGTCTCTCTTGTAGTGGGGAGCCCAGAATTGGGCACAGTACTCCAGATGTGGCCTTATCAGGGCTGAGCAGAGGCAGGGATTACCTCCCTCCACCTGCTGGCAACACTCTTCCTCATGTGACTGAGGATACCATTGGCCTTCTTGGCCGCAAGGGCACACTGCTGGCTCATTGTTAGCTTTTTGTCCACCAGGACCCTCTTCTCTGCAGAGCTGCTTTCCAGCAGGTCAACCCCCAGCCTGTACTGGTGCATGGGATTATTCCTCCCTACGTGCAGGACCCTGCACTTGCCTTTGTTGAACTTCAGGAGGTTCCTCTCCCCCCATCTCTCCAGCCTGTCCAGGTCCCTCTGAATGGCAGCACCGCTTTCTGGGGTATCAGCCTCTCCCCCCAGGTTTGTATCATCAGCAAACTTGCTGAGGATGCACTCTGTCCCTTCATCCAGGTCATCGATGAATACATTGAAGAAGACTGGACCCAGGACTGACCCCTGGGGGACACCGCTAGCTACTGGCCTCCAACTAGACTCTATGCCACTGATCACAGCCCTCTGATCCCTGCCATCCAGCCAGTTCTCAATCTACCTCACCGTTCACTCCTCCAGCCTGCACTTTCTGAGCTTGCCTATGAGGACGTGGTAGAAGACAATGTCAAAAGCCTTGCTGAAGTCCAGGTAGACACCATCCACTGCTCTGCCCTCATCTACCCAGCCAGTCATGCCATCAGAGAAGGCTACCAGATTGGTCAAGCATGATTTCCCTTTGGTGAATCCACGCTGACTACAACCCTGTCAGAGGGTTTTTTATGATGATTTCTGAATATCTGAGTTGAATAAGGCTAAATTTATAATAAATGCAGTCATGGAAAACATACAGGCATATCTAGAACTTTCTAAGTACTTTATAAGCACTAGCTTAAAAGATAAACTTTTCCATGAATGGTATTTCTCTTTGGTAAGTTTTTGCAGGATTGGATAATATTTATCAGATGAATTGGTGTGACTATTGCTTTTTATTTCTTTATGGTAGTGCAACACGTGCTATTTTCCACAGAGATCTTTGTGAATATGGAAGTATTTTATAGGTAGTAAATATTGATAAGCATGAAGGCAACACATCTGAAATCAGCTTTCACCAAGACACAGGCAATTGAGAGGGCCCAGCTCTTAGAAAGGTTGTAAGTGAGCACTCACGTGCAAAACTGGGGTCCTGAAAGCCTCTATTGAGCTGCAACTGGCCTTTGAAGAGGCCTCATTTCTTCACTTGGAAGTTTCCCCATCATTTCTCTGCATGTGCCCCGAGCCCTGACAGTTACTGGGACTCCTTGCAGGAACCCCTGTAGCTTACGGGACCCCAAAGGACAAGTTTCCTCTGCTCTGCTCTGTTCTGCTCACAGTGAACAGCAGTGTTATAGTTCTTTTTCTATCTTGACTCTTGGAGTATTTTACAAAAGTAGGTAGGAGACACAAGTATCCCAAATGTGGTGCCAAAACCATGATTTATGGCTAACTTTGCTTGAGAAACCCCTGGCATTTTTTGTAGGGGCAATGAGATGCTGCTTTTGTAGCTCAGTCTTGCAAGGCAAGCAAGATGGGTTGTTGCCTGTAGCAAGTAATTTGCTTGGTATAGTTGCTTCTGGGGCAGTGAAAGGTGGAGATTAATACTTTTAGATTTAAACTACTGAATCAAGTTGGAGGCCTGTGGCTAGTGGTGTCCCCCAGGGGTCAGTCCTGGGTCCAGTCTTGTTCAGTATATTCATCAGTGACCTGGAGGAAGGGACAGAGGGCACCCTCAGCAAGTTTGCTGATGATCCT